GTGTTCCATCATGCTTCAAAAATATGCGATAAATGTTCATGCTAATCATTAGTGTACGAAAACTTTTCGACTGCATAAATTAAATCATTTTTTTGGAAAAAATTGGCATTGCAACAAAAATGATCTTGTATCCTACGTTTGTAAAACTCAGGACCTCGGAGTTGAGCAAGTGAGCCAAAATTATTTCGCCCAAAAAAGCAAATCAAAACAACAAGGAGATCGTATTTGAGGCAAATATTAGATGTACTTCGATTAATTGACGATATGCCATAGCAAAAACAGCCATTAATCTGCACATTTATCAATATTTCTGTACAATAGATAGATGATGAAACGAAATTGTAGATAGTTAATTGGTAATCAACAAATTTGGTAACAAACTTTTAATGTATGGCACCTGTTAGCGGACACAGAAGGAAAAACAGAACCGGATTGAGTAGCGATTGAATCATTCGCAATGAAGACGGCTTAACCCAGTTAACCACAGAAATGCTAGCTGACTATAGCAATTTAAGGAAATTTACAATGTCAATAAAATAAAAATGATTACATTAAACACTTGACAATGTACAGTGGCAAAATTCTTACACACATTCATTTGGAGTTGTTCACCTGTTGCAACATATCAAAAACTTGCGACACCCTTTCATGGATCAGGCGCGTTTGAGCAACGATGCTGCAAGAAATAGAAGATGAAGAAAATGACGATTTCGGCAAAAGCTAGAGGAAAGAAGGATTTATAGGAAGTCAAAAAGATAAAACTAACTTAGCTGGCCGTTTATAGTACTGCAGGGCTTTCTGAAAGCTGTGTTCATCTAAATTATTGGAAACTTGCATCCTCTCCATACAGTTCTATAAGAAATCTTTTAACACTACACGTCTTATATCAAAGATGATCTTATAAATTCAACTTTGATCTCACAGCCAATCAGACAGTGAGACGAGTTGAGAAGAAATAGTGGATAAGATAAACCTTCATTTCCTGGAAAGGTCTCTCGATGAGTCCGATATAGTCATCAATGTAGTCGCGATATTTCGACAATTCTGATGAGATATCCACAACAAATCTCAAACGATAAAACAGTACAAGAGCTGA